TGTCGTCTTGGTGTGATTTCCACTTCGTTATCTGTTGATGCTCTGATATGTATTCTCGGGAGCACCTCCTCCAAAAGTATTGTCCCAACTACTCGATGCGATGATAGCGATTCAGCCTTGAAGCCCTCTCGTTGACCATGGTCAACGGACGGCCTATGAGGAAATGAGTGAGTGAGCGGATTGAAATCGGCAGGATCAGTGGATAAAGGTGACATCGGACGGGAGTTAAGAATAGCTTCTTTTTGTGATAAAACAGTGTTTAACTCCTCGTATGTCAAATTCGAATTACCTACCCCTAAAATGGGGTGAATAGGGTGGTATAAAGTTGAAATTAATTCATTAGCTGCACCTCACTAATTTCCCTATTATTAATAATAATAATAATAATTCTTAGTGGATGTCACCGTCCCATTCGATGAAAACCTCGTGAAAGCCGAATCAGATAAAAAACTTAAATATCTGAACCTGGCGCACGAGGTTACCGATATGTGGCGAGTGTCATCCACTGAGATCATCCCAGTCGTAGTGCCAACGAATGGCCTAGTCCCAACTTCTCTTCACGACCATCTGAAGAGGTTAGGACTCCGTGACGGACCAATGATTGCAAGGCTCCAACGGGCGATCTTGCTCGATAACGCAAGGATCGTCCGCCGTTTTCTCTCTTTGTCGCCCTGACCCCCGGCCGTCTGGCCTCCTCTGCCAGGGGGAATCCTCTCACCCCTCGAATCGTCGAGGGGTCGGGAAGAGTAAATTATAAATATAGGAATAATAATAATAATATATACTTTATTGCACACACGAGTCACAAATTACACAGTTTGAGAAAAGAAAAGAAAAACAGTATTCAAAAAGGCGGCCTTATTGCTACATAGCAATATCTTCCAGGCAACCTATGGAGGAAAACAGATAAATAAATAATAAATAAATAATATTAGTATGTAGAAAAGAAAAAAAAAATCTTTGTAGCCCCTACGAAAATGCTTCCGTTATCTGAATAAATAATACTCGGTTTCCCCGTCTGCTCATAAAACGTTTAAGTGTTAAGCTAAATCTTCAGTGGAAAGACTAGTAATGAGTTCCAAATGAACTGCCCGTTTAAGAAAACAAACAAAAATACATATATAGCCCTTAATCAAGCGAGCGCCTCTGCATTTTCTATTTAAAATCATTATTGGTTCAGCATAATCCAAACCAGTTCTTATAAACGGAAAATCAGGTTCCAAGCATTCAGAAGGTAAGTTTCCCATTATTGGGTTTAAAGTCTTGCCTCTCATTCGTTGACAAATGACGCATTCATGTGTTATCTTCCTAATTAAATTTCTAGCACCAAGTAACCACCAACCTTCGCGTAAGCTAGACAATTAAATCTGTGGACCGGAGTGAAGTAAACGTATGTGTTCATACCTAACCGACAAAATTGAAAGTAAATGTTTACTAGACATTAAAATTGGAAGTTTTTTGTTATAATTTAAAAAAAAGTGGAGTAACATAACCTACTACCCTAAATTATTTATTGTTCATCTAAGAACACATTTAAACCCTTTATTGGTAATGTATTCATTAAGCAATTAAACAAATCTGGAAACGATGGTTGTTGTGCACATTTAACTAGCAGGCACAGTAATGAGTTCAACTCGCGCACCGATAAGAAACCGGTTTGCCGTACGGACGTCGATGCTCGGTGATCTTTATCTGCACACTTATTTTTTCTTAGATTATACAGAAACCGCAACACATAGGCCCACGTTTAACTTTATTAAATGTCGAATATTTATAAAATTGAATTACATCGCATTGAATAACAGAAACAAAGTTTAACAATTGAGATTTCAATTCCGGCAAACCATTTGTATTAATTAAATGTTTATGTAAATAATTAATAGAAAAATTGTTATTATTATATTGCAAATAAGACGAACCCTTCCACCATAAGTCACACTCAATTAATGTGAGTCCCCTAGATAAGAGGTCAGCAGGATTTTCTTTGCTCGGTACATGCAACCAGGTGGAATTTTGCTATCAATTCGTATATTTCAGTGACACGATTTTGTACAAATGACTTAAGCAACTTAAATGATATACCCAACCACCCAATAACAATGGTTGAGTCAGTCCAGAAATGGGCACTAGTGAACTTCAACCTAGATGATTTTATTATAAAGTCTTGCACCCATAAGCGCACCACACAGTTTAAAAGTGGTGTACTTAATGCCTTTATAGGTGAAACTTTGCTTTTTGCATTATATGAACGTATATAAATATATGCCTCATATGCATTCTATGACGCATCACAAAAGATATGAATTTCTATATTTTGTACAAAATCACTTACTACGAAACGTGGATTTTTTAATACGCTTAAACCCTTTAAGGTTTTCATAAAGTTATACTATACTGATGCAATTTCAAATGGCACTAGATCATCCCATTTATGTTTACTAAGCCACATTTTTTGCAATAACATATTTGATAGACTCACTGTAGGAGAGAGTAAATCTAATAGATCGTATATTTGTGAAATTATAGATAACATTGCTCGTTTAATTAATTTTGATATATTACAATAATCATCAACCTTAGTTGTGTAATACAATTCATCGCTATCATTACGCCAACCTATGTCTAGTGTTTTATTTTAAATAAATTATCTGGCTTATTACGAATGACGTCAGTATTGAATGTCCATTTACGAAGTGAAAGACTTTAGATATTTTCTCACAAATAATTAATAACTGATTTTGATCATCATTACAAATTATTAAATCGTCAACGAAAAAGTCTTCTAATATGAGCCGCGATATAACCTCATCAGTCCTCAGTTTACTTCGAGCAGCCGCATTGAGCGCTTACTTAAATATGGAACTGATGCAGTACCATACATCTGTAATAAGTTGGTAAACATCTAGATGCATATCAGGAGTTTCGCGTCAAAATATAAGTTGCAACGCTGTTTGGTCTGTCTCGGTGAAACAATACTTGACGAAACATCTTTTCGACGTCGGCACAAGCTACGAATTTATGTTGCCGGAAACGCAAAAGAATAGAAAAAAATGTCGTTTCGATGAGCCGGGCCCGGCAACTGAATATTATTTAAAAACATGTCCGAAGGTTAGGTTACGCTAGTGTTGAAGACTACTCGTAACTTGGTAGTTGTGCTATATATTGTGATATACTCATCCAAGGAACTGATAATTCGTAGTTAGTAGATGAGAATCCTGGGTAGTCAGGTAACATAGTCACGTATAGTAAAACTTCTTTAAATCCTTCTTTTACTCGAATACTATATGATAATGTTGCTCTACTCTCCACAATCCACTCATCCGAAGAACTGACAATTTGTAGTTAGTAGATGAGAATCCTGGCTAGTCAGGTAACATAGTCACGTACAATAAAACTTCTTTATATACTTCTTTTATTCGAATACTATATGATCTCGTTGCTCTCCTCTCCACTATCTACTCATCCAAAGAACTGACAATTCGTAGTTAGTAGATGAGAATCCTGGGTAGTCAGGTAACATAGTCACGTACAATAAAACTTCTTTATATCCTTTTTTTACTCGAATACTATATGATCTCGTTGCTTCTCTCTCCACTATCTACTCATCCAAAGAACTGACAATTCGTAGTTAGTAGATGAGAATCCCGGGTAGTCAAGTAACATAGTCACGTACAATAAAACTTCTTTATATCCTTCTTTTACTCGAATACTATATGATCTCGTTGCTCTACTCTCCACAATCCACTCATCCACGGAAATGACAATTTGTAGTTAATAGATAAGAATCCTGGGTAGTCAGGTACAGTTAAACTTTTTCTTTTACTCGAATACTACAACGTGTTAATGAAAAAGCGCAAAATCTCAGACACCCCAACTTATTTTTATTATAAAAGAATTATGTAAATTATTAAATTTTTATTTTCTCTGATTTTTAGGAAGATATTAGTTTTTTTTGTTTTCTTGTAAATTAAAAAGTCTATGGTAATTACGTGCGATCTAGTGCGACGTTGCCGCTTCGCGTGCCACTGCAATTTGCAATTTTGCATTCACTCAAACCAAACTCAGATTGTAACGCTTTCGCTCTTATCGTAACAGATCAGAGTTGCTTTTGTCAAGGTTGACGAGCATCCGACTGTACGTAAGTATTGATAAAAAAAAAATCTTGCAAATTTTTGTCAAGTGTTCTCCGTCTATTTTTTTTTCTTCCTCTTCGCCAGTCCAGCCTGTTCGATGGCTTGTCTTGCTGCATTACCGATATGCCTGAATCTATCCGGGCAAAGCTGAATTCCTCCGTACCTTGTGATATGAAAATAAATATCTTTCATTAAATAGAAGTCATAAAGTACTTAACATTTATAATTTACACCACTGATAAGTCATAAAACCATTAATAATTATTGACCTTTTCAAGCGATAGATCACAGTTAGTTTGCTTACAAAATCGTCACCACAGTTGGTACGCACACGTTCCCTGTGGTTGGAATCGATTTGGAATGGGCCGTAATAATGCATCACGCAATCACAGTCCAGGGTTGTCTAGACTATTACTATTACTACCCATAGCAATGTGACATTATTCGTACACATTTTAATAAGTACGAATATCCTGGCACTTCAAACTAGATACTATAATATAAAGTACTATAGAAACCGTTAATGTGAGTTATTTTAAATACAAACTAAAAGTCTTAAAAACATTTTAGATATTCTGAATATTTTCATATAAAGAGATTGTAATTTGTTTTTATTATTCGATGTAATTTTTATGACAACTCATCGTTTAAACCTTCCCTGAACTAGACAAACATTACAATATCAAAATCAGCTAAACCGTTCTCGAGTTTTAGGGAGATAAACGAACAGCTATGATTTTTTAACATATAGAAGATCATTGTACGTTATTTTGCATATGTAGGTACTAAATAACTACGAGTATATATTTATTTTACCAAAATAGTTACAAAAAAATAAAATAAAATGTAATTTAAAATACAATATACTCACCACCTGGTGACTATCACTAACGTATTGTCCAAGTCCATGACTTTCATCAGGTGCATTAATCGGCTTCCCGCGTGGGCCTCGCCGTCTTCATCGAAATCCTGAAGGACGACCTCGGTGCCTTTAGCGGTGGACTCTTTCATACGATACGCGTACATATTATGCTTGGCGCTCGATATTTTCTTATTTTCCTTCAGCTTGGCTAGTACGGATCTGGTTCACATAAATATTTGACATTAAAGATTTTGATTAATAACTAAAAAGATTGATATCTAAGCAAAATAATGATGCAGGACAGATTATACAGAACAGAATAGTTACTCGTGAATGATGATTGTTAGGTATATTCTCTTTAAATGAGGAATTGTAAGAATGTTATAGTTTCACAAAGATCAATTTAAATAAATTAAAGGATTACACATTTTTGAAAACACGATATTTACTTGACATCATCAAGGCTGTGTACTTCAGCCGCATGCCCTTGAAAGACGCTTTTCCTGTCCACTGTAACATCCCCGTGAGTAATCTCGGGACAACGCAACTGAAAAATAAAGAGCAAGTTTGTAGAAAAAAGAGTACGTGGCATCTTATTCTGCTCGAGTTCGTACAAAATGTTTTTAATTAAGATAGAATTTCCAATTCTAATTACACACAACTTTTCATTTTATATTTGATAAATCCTATTAATATTATAAAGGCGAAAGTTTGTAAGTATGGATGTATGGATGTTTGTTACTCTTTCACGAAAAAACTACTGGACGGATTTGGATAAAACTTTACAGCAATATAGGTTATACATCAGAATAACACATAGGGTACTTTTTACTGGGAAAACTTCTCACTCCCACGGGATACCGACTTCCACGCGGACGAAGTCGCGGGCGTCCACTAGTATTTGATAAATTTGCATTCACAATTTTGATTGATATTGATATTTATAAAATTTAAAAATCTCGTGGGCAGACTTTGCTTATGAAATGGGTAATTTGAAAATGCCAGTACTTTTTCATTATTTATCTTTCAATGAGGGTAAGATCCGGAGCTGCCTTTAAGACGTATGCATTGTATCTTACATTCATAATGATCTATGTAAAGCATGAAGATTAATTAAACAAAAGTATGAGAACGATTCCTTCAGAAATTGTCGTTTCCTAACAAACAGACTAGGTCTAAAACCTAGTAAAATTTTAGGTGTATTTCTTTCATATTTTTAAAATGTATGACAAAAAGAAACAAACTATTTACTTATAGACACAATTTCACAAAATGATTGACTGAACCAATGTCCTCTTTTGAAGACATCACTTATTACAGATTATGAAGAAATAAACATGCAGTACAGTAAATTGTGAACTAAAAATTCAACATACCTTCTCCAAACATGGGGTCTTTTTAGTTATTTTATTACGGATACTACCCGAGAGAGGTAGTTTCTAACGAACCCCCTCGTGTGTTCGATTAGTAAATAAACACTAACTTCGCCGATATTTTCACTGAAAAAAAATAAAAATAAATACTCTTTATTCCGCAAAAAAAAATTAAAACGATGTAGACAAAAAATCTGTTATTGTTGTATTCTGCTCAAATGTTGTATACTAATATTTATAAACCAAAAGTAAAGTATTATTTTGAATATTAAAACATAATGTACCTCATATGGGTTATTTAAAATCATATTAACTAAAAATTGATGATAAATGTAAACCGTAAATAACCACATAATTAAAGAGTAAAGTCATCTAAATGATAAATGTTGTTTTACTTACATACTGATCATATCTAATTCATGAAGGAGCTTTGCCTTCGCTTTCCTACCCAGCCAAGGAGCTGACAGTTCGTATTTTGGAGGTCCGAATTCTGGGTAGGTAGGTGGCATAGTAATATAGAATAAAACTTCTTTATCGCCTTCTTTGATTCTCATACTGTACGATCTTGTTGCTTTACTCTCAACGGTCCACACGTCATTATAGATAGCATTGAGAGCCTCAACATCCTTCATCTAAAAGATAGACGATAATGAAATGAATTATATCACTCAAATCAGTGCGATTGCAAATTTTGTAGAAGCCATTTTTTGAGCAAACGATATTGAAATATTATGTAATACACGGTCAAGACCACCAAAGATAGATAGTCGTTATCAAAATCATAATAACTTAAAATAAGTTGCGTCAAAAAACCCTAAAAAATTAGTTTATCACCTACTAGACGAATTCTCTCTGAAACGGAACAAAAGTTACAATAACTTTCATACTTCGTACCTGTTAGTAATTTTTTTTTTTAATTGTATAAAAAACTCTAATAGATAACCAGCCAGGGGTGAAGTACTCTTATAACACTTGGGCAGCCACTCTATACGCATATCAGGTAATTTTAATGTCTAGAGAGTTAGTTAACTAATTTTTTTTTGTACTGTGTGTTACTGTTGGCCTCAGATGGACTTTACAGTGTAACTGGACTAAGGGACGGCGAGATCCTTAGGACCTCAAGCCGAGATGATTGGGGGGTTAGAATGATTGTTCCTGTATTTATAGCAGACCCGCTACATTGTTTCAATAGGATAGGGACATAATACGGAATGAACAAGTAATGTAAAAATCACACGTGTTTAATATACCTTTTAAAATGGGAATGTGGTTTTTCATAAAATAATAAAATGTATTTAAAAACTTAATCACGTTTAAAGTATATCTAAATTAAAATTTGGTTAAGGTTGATATAAGTAACAGAGTGGTTTTCTTTTGTAAATTTTATAACACTTATTAGCGAATGCGATTATTCATATTAAAATACCATTGCGATTGTTTTTATACGTATGTTACCTATATTTGTCATCGATATTTTATTTATAAATAGGCAAATAGATTTGTCCTCTAGAAATATTTTTTTTATCAGAATAATAGGTGTGTGCTTTAGGTGTTGAAATAAGTAACAATTGGTATTACAATTAATAACATGAACACTAAATTTGTACACTTATGATTAAATGTGCGTTCTAAGAATATTATTAATAAGTCATCATCACCATCAGGTCTGCTGGGGCAAAGCCTTCCCTGTGTATGGAATCGATCGATCGATAGTAGAAGGGGAGCTCGCATCAAAAATGTGCAAGAGCTTTTGAAAGCTAAATATTTTAGTATGTGGAAGTACTATAAATCACTCAGTAGTACCCAATGTGGAGGTCAGGTGCTGGAACACCTGTAATATCAAGCTTAAGCTTTAAAAAGCTTCTGCACACTTTTGTCATGAGTCATGACCTTTAGACTATAGGGATAGCAGGCCATACCATAATCAACACGCGGGCCCAATGCGGATTGGAGGATGACATATATCGATATCCTTTCTTCTTCTTCTCCATCAGCTTTTGTATATACGAGTATATTGAAATATTATTATATATTAGAAGGTTCTATTTATCGATTTAGTTAGATGAGTCAATATTTAGTCTACAATCTATAAGACTAAATATTGACTTCAAGAAATAAGACTTTAAAGTGAATATACACTTTTTTCGTAGTTATTGCTACTTTAAGTCAAAGTTTTTTTTCATAATCATAATCATAATCATAATCATAATGTCAAATATTAGAATATAATTGAAGAAACTTGTTTTTTTTCTTAAAAAAATGGTTTTCGATGATTCCTGAGAAAAGTGTAACTAGCGTCTGATCCGTCATTTACCTATTTAATGAATAGACACTTAATCGGGTATACCACGTGTGATTTTCAAAAATAAGTGCAATTTTCAAACATTTCAGATAATTTCAAGATAAACTATGTGACTTATCAATCATGTAGTATTAATTGTTTATGCTATGACTTAATCTTTTTTGAAAATTAAGGCTCTTTACTTGTAAGTATTATTAATAATAATAATAATAATAATAATAATAATAATAATATTTATTTATTTGCGAAAATATGGTTACAAGGTAGTTTTACAATTTTAGACCAGCATATTTTATCGTCAAGACGATGTGCAAATATTAAAGTCAATATACAATAAATTGCCTGATTTTATATGAAAGAAAATGTCAAAAAATTAAATTACATAAAAAATAGCAAATGTCAAATCATAGTCATAAGATACAATAGGTTCATATTATAATCAAAGCATTCATATAATAATTAAGAATGAGAATTATCTTGCAAGAATTCATTGATTGAATAATAATTTTTATCCATTAAATATTTAAATAAACAGGATTTGAATGTAATAACATTATTAAAGTTTTAATATTATTCGGTAATTTATTATAAATGCGTATACTCATACAATATGAGTTCTTCGAATTCACAACGAGTCTTTAAGTTGGAATACATTTTGTACCCTTCCTACCTCTATGTGCAAAATCTTTATTTTGTTTAAATAAATGGAAATGTTTTGTAACAAATATCCCCATTTCAAAATATATAAACATGGAAGTGGTAATACATTTAATGATTTAAACAAAGGCTTACATGAGTCCAAGTAGCCTGCACCACAGACTGACCGTATGCATTTTTTTTTGTATTTAAAAGCACGAATTGCTTCGACCGAATTACCCCATATCACTATACCATATCGCAACACAGATGAGACGTAACTATGATATGCTATTAGAGCGGATTATTCAGAGGCAACTTGTCTAATTCTATTAAGAGCAAATATAAATTTGTCCAATTTGGCAGCAACTATGTCTATATGTGCCTTCCAATTACAGAATCTATCTATCATGATCCCTAAGAAATTTGTTTCATTTACTTCTACTAGTTTGTTATCTTTATGCCATATATCTATTGTTCTAGTTTTAGTATTTGTAGTTTTAAATTGAAAATATTTCGTTTTATTAATGTTATTTTTTAGGTTACTTTTCTCCAGCCATTGTGTGACTTTTCTGAATTCAGTGTTAGCTATTCGTTCAATATCATCACAATCCTGACCTCTGATAACAAGTGTTGTGTCATCTGCAAATAGGACACACTTTTGGTCAGTAACACTGGGCAAATCATTGATATATAATAAAAATAAAAGTGGTCCAAGTACGCTTCCCTGAGGTACGCCACAATGATTTAGTGTATATTTAGAAGTATAAGATTTTCTAAAATTACCTTGCATCTTAGATATTTCGACACACTGTGTGCGGTTGTTTAGATAACTTTTCATCCATTCTAAGGCATTGCCCCTTATTACATATCTATCTAACAACAACAAAACTAGCACTTTTTTTGTGATATCCGTACTTAATTCATCGACGCCAGTTGAGTGTGTTTTTTAATTTTTTTATTATCTTATAAATATGATTTTCATTAACCGGTGTTAGGTAGATACGAGGGTCAAACTGAAAGTTCTTAGAACTGGCCACTTATAAACAATATAATAAAAAAATAATTCTAAAATTTGAAAATATAACTCTTTGCCAATATTACTGAGTATATATTTCATTCATTTGTCATTTGTTTTACGATTTGGCGGCAAATTGAAAATTGTCTGTGTCACGTCATCATGAATTTAACACGAGAAAATTTTCGTGCAATGATTTTTTATGACTTTCGATGTCATTTAAGTCAACAAGAAAGTTATGATAGACTACGATTGGCCTTTCACGATGAAGCCCCATCTCGTGCGACTGTTTACAACTGGTTTAATGAGTTTAAACGTGGTCGCACTAATCTCACTGATGATTTACGTGAGGGACGGCCTTCTACGGCGACGACTGAAGATAACATCTGTGTTGTGCGGCGTATGATAGAGACTGACAAAAGAGTGACCTATCAACAGATTCGGACAAGCTTAGGCATCGGTATGAGTCAAGTGCACAAAATCCTCCACGAACATTTAGCGGTCAGGAAGCTTTGCGCCCGGTGGATACCTCATAATTTGACTGAGGCTCAAAAACTCCATCGTGTGGATTGGTGTCGTAAAATGATTGAAAGATTTAACGGAGGTGACTCAAATGCTGTGTTCGACATACTAACAGGTGACGAAAGCTGGATTTACTGTTATGATCCTAAAACCAAAAGACAATCTGCTCAGTGGGTGTTTCCTTTCGAGGAGTTGCCAACTAAAGTGAAGAGAGATCGAAGTGCGGGAAAAAAAATGGTGGCCTCGTTCTTTGGAAGGATAGGTCATTTTGCAACAATTGTGTTAGAGGATCAAAAAACAGTTTCTGCAGAATGGTACACTACCAATTGTTTGCCACTTGTCTTGGAAAAAGTTCGAGAGAAACGACCTCGCAGTAGGATCCTCCTTCACCACGACAACGCCTCGTCGCACACCGCCAAGCGAACGATCGACTATTTGGCGACATCAAACGTTGAATTACTGGGTCACCCGCCGTATAGCCCCGACCTCGCGCCTTGTGATTTTTATTTATTTCCAAAAATTAAAGAAAAACTTAAAGGAAAGCGGTTTATGAATGCTGAAGAAGCGGTGGCTGCGTATCGCGATGCCATTGAAGAGACCCCTAAGGACGAGTGGGCAAAGTGCTTTTCCCAGTGGTTCCATCGCATGCAGCGGTGTATTGACGTGAATGGACAATATTTTGAAAAGATATAATAAAACTAATAACTGGCTAATGTAATCAGTTTTTGATTTTCTAAGAACTTTCAGTTTGACCCTCGTACTATTTGAACAGATTGGTATGTTGCGTGTTGCATAAGATATGTCAATTAATTCATTATTTGCATTAGTTTCATTAATAAAATATTCATTAAAATTGTCACTTATTTGAATTGGGTCATTTATATATGAATTGTTATTGAGAAAAGAAATCAATATTTTAATTAAAAGGAACTGAGATAAAGATAAATAAAGAGTTATTTCAATAATGACACGAAGTAATTTGTTAACATTTTTGTTTCAATAATTGTATATGCACCTATGAAAAAAAATATTTTAATAAGATTTAGGTTCCATTTTACAGGGACCAGAGTAATGGAACGGTAATAGCGAGATATCTCCAACACAAGTATTACTTTTTTTGCTGGAGTAGTCTCATGTATAATTTTATTACATAAAAGATTACGATTATAAAGATAAGATTATATCTTATAACTTTCAAGGGGTCGAAAATGTCTTAAGGTAGACTTTAAATAAATATACAAGTATATACCTAATTATTCCTAATCAATATAAATTGTAATAACAAATTAACTTTCAATGATATATAATAAATTATTATACTAAAAAACTAAACACAAAAGACGGCTGATAGGGTAGAACTGTACTTGGTAACTTCATTTGAACGTAAATTACTATTTCTATTAAAAAATAAACCTACACTAAAATATATAATACACCATACACTTAAAAGTAAAGAGCTCGTGACTAAAATGTTATGTTCTTTTGATATTAAATTATTTGCTACTACAAATAACAAATTAAAAATAAATCTACACTTATATATCATATACACTATACATGTAACAGCTCGTGACATAAATGTGCAAGTGATACTTCACTATGTGGAAGTACTAATGATATACATCACTCAGTGGAGTGCGGATGTTGATAGGGTTTTCGCGTAACTATACAAATATCGTGTTCTGCTATACAAACGGCTAAAACCACCACAGTGGATACTAAGTGATGTATACTTTTATACTTCCATATACTGAAAGTTCGACCTTTAGAAAAATCTTGCAAATTTTTGACACGAGCTCTCCGTCTATTTTTTATTCTTCTTCTTCGCCAGCCCAGCCTGTTCGATGGCTTGTCTAGCTGCATTACCGATATGTCTAAATCTGTCCGGGCCAAGCTGAATTCCTCCATACCTTGTAATATAAAAAAAAAAAATAGTTTCATCAAATAGAAGTAATAAAGTTCTTAACATTTATAATTTACATTACTGATAAATCATGAAAGCATTAATAATTATTGACTTTTTCAAGTTATAGATCACAGTTAGGTTGCTTACAAAATCGTCACCACAGTTGGGGCGCACACGTTCCCTGTGGTTGGAATCTATAGGGAGAATGGGCCGTAATAATGCATCACGCAATCACAGCCCAGAGTTGTCTCGCCTATTCACTACCCATAGCAATGTGACATTTTTCTTACACATTTATATAAGTACGAATTTTCGGTTACCTCAAACTAGATACTATAATACGAGTATAAAATACTATAGAAACCGTTCATGCGAGTTATTTAAAATACAAACTAATAGTCTTGAAATCATTTTCGAGATTCTGAATATTTTCATATAAAGAGATTGTAACTTGTATTTATTTTTCAGTGTACTTTATATGACATCTCACCGTTTAAACCTTCTCTGAACTAAGACAAACATTACAAAATCAAAATCAGCTAAATCGACCCATCCGTACCAATCGGCCCATATTTTGTATAAAATAAAATGTACTCACCATCTGGTGACTATCACTAGCGTATTGTCCGAGTCCATGACTTTCATTAAATGCATAAATCGGTTTCCGGCGTGGGCCTCGCCGTCTTCATCAAAATCCTGAAGGACGATGGCGGTGCCTTTAGCGGTCGACTGTTTTATACGATACGCGTACCATATTATGCTTGGCGCTCGATATCTTCTTATTTTCCTTCAGCTTGGCAAGAACGGATCTGTGTATTACATAAATATTTGACATTAAAGAATTCGATTAATAACTAAGCAAAATAATGATGCAGGACAGATTATATAGGACAAAATAGTTACTCGTGATTGATGATTGTTAGGTGTATTCTCTTTAAATGAGGAAGTGTAAGAATGTTATAGTTTCACAAAGAAACAATTTAAATAAATTAAATGATAACACATTTTTGAAAACACTATACTTACTTGACATCATCAAGGCTGTGTACTTCAGCTGCATGCCCTTGGAAGACGCTTTTCCTGTCCACTATAACATCCCCGTGAGTAATCTCGGGACAATTCAACTGAAAAATAAATAGCAAGTTTATCGAAAAAGGAGTACGTGGCATCTTATTTTGCTCGAGTTCGTACAAAATGTTTTTTTAGTTAAGATAGAATTTCCCATTGTACATAAGAACATACAGCCAACTTTTCATTTTATATTTGATAAATTTGGCGTTCACAATTTTGATTGATATTGATATTTATAAAATATAAAAAAAAATCGAACAATTTCGTGGGGAGACTTTGTTTATGAAATGGGTAATTTGAAAATGCCAGTACTTTTTCATTATTTATGTTTCAATGAAGGTAAGGTCCAGAGCTGCCTTTGGAACGCATATATTGTATCTTACATAGATATGATCTATGTGAAGCATGAAGATTAATTAAACACAATTATGAGAACGAGTCTTTCAGATATTGTCGTTTCCGAACAAACAGACTAGGACTAAAACCAAGTCGAAATTTTTAGGTGTATTTCTTTCATATTTTAAAATGTATGACAAAAAGAAACAAACTATTTACTTACAGCAACCATTTCACAAAATCTTTGACTGAACCAATGTCCTCTTTTGATAGCACTTATTACACATTATGAAGAAATAAACATGCAGTACTGTTAATTATGAACAAAAAATTCAACATACCTTCTCCAAACATGGGGTCTTTTTAGTTATCTTACTACGAATACCACCAGAGGGCGGTAACTTTCTAACGAACTTCTTATGTGTTCGATTAGTAAATAAACACTAACTTCACCGATATTTTCACTGAAAAATAATAATAATAAATACTCTTTATTGCGCATCAAAAAATGAAAACGATGTAGACAAAAAAATCTGTTAGTGATGTATTCTGCTCAAATGTTGTATACTAATATTTATAAATCAAAAGTAAAGTATTATTTTGAATATTAAAACATAATGTATCTCATATGGGTTATTAAAAATCATATAAACTATAATTTGATGATTAATACAAATCGTATAACCACATAATTAAAGAGTAAACTCATCTAAATGATAAATGTTGTTTTACTTACATACTGATCGTATCTAATTCATGAAGGAGCTTTGCCTTCGCTTTCCTATCCAGCCAAGGAGCTGACAGTTCGTACTTAGGAGGTCCGAATTCTGAGTAGGTAGGTGGCATAGAAATGTAGAACAATACTTCTTTATCGCCTTCTTTGATTTTCATACTGTACGATCTTGTTCTGTACTCTCGACGGTCCACACGTCATTATAAATAGCATTGAGAGCCTCAACTTCCTACATCTAAAAATAGACGATGATGAAATGAATTATATCACTCAAATCAGTGCGATTGCAAATTTTGTAGAAGCCACTTTTTTTGCAAACGATATTAAAAATATATGTAATACCTACACGGTTAAGGCCACCAAAGATAGATAGTCGTTATCAAAATCATAATAACTTAAAATAAGTTGCGTAAAAAACCCTAAAAAATTAGTTTTTCACCTACTAGACGAATTCTCTTTGAAACGGAACAAAGGTTACAATAATTCATACTTCGTACCTGTGAGTAATTTTTTTAATTGTTTCTGTGACTTTTTAAAGACCTAGTAAAGAAAATATAAAAAAACACTATAAGTTAACCAGCCAGAGGCGAAGTACTCTTATAACACTTGGGCAGCCACTCTGTACGTATATGCAGGTAATTTTAATGTCTAGAGAGTTAATTAACAAATGTTTTTTGATATGGGGGGTAGGATGATTGTTCCTGTATTTATAGCAGACCCGCTGCATTGTTTCAATAGAATCGGTACATAATACGGTATGAACAGATAATGTAAAAATATATAAATCTATTGAAATAAGAATATGGTTTTTCATAAAATAAATAAAATTTATTGAAAAACTCAAACACGTTAAAAGTATATTTATAATGATATTTTGGTTACGTTTGTTACAAGTAATTAGCGAATGCGATTATTCATGTTAAAATACCATTGCGATTGTTTTTATACCAAATAAGTTATCTGCAGCCGAAGGTCTTAAAAAAAAGCAAATTTTAATAGACTAAATTTAATTATAAAAGAATTACAAGTAAAGTATGATAATGCTTCGAAGTGTGAAACAAATATGAATTATAATATTTAATTTTGACGGAAACGCTGGTGGTGTTGCAATGCCTGTCACGTTCCGCTGACGCTGCGCCTCGTGCCGCCTGGTGCCGTGTGCATTGTTGATCGGTGTCGATGCTGACTTGGCGATTGTCATATATTAGGCGTCCGTAACACCTCCCCTCGTAGAACAGCCTCCACCGAAGATTTTAGTTGTAAATTGAGGTGGTGGTTGGTTTCTTCTTAATTTCGGTACTGGATCTGCGTAAATCTGTTTCGTGTTAATTTCATCTTCGGGAATTTTTACAGCGGTAATTCTTCTGAAGTATTTGCGATATAGCACTGTAATAGCGAGTGCACATGTAATGATCACTACTATGTATAATGGTATTGTAGTATGATACAAAGTGTAATCTCGAGTCTGGAAGTGAACAGCTCGCTGTTGAGAGATTTTCATATCGGTTGCATGAAGATGCTGTAGGTTCATTGAGTTAAGTTTCAGTGCGGCGGTTGGTGGTGGGATGACATCTGCTTCTTGGGGTAGATCCATTATCTTAAGCACGTGACCCTTTAATCGATCTTTAGTGTTGGAGATGGTTAGCTGCGGTGTCTTCATGTAACAGTTCTGTGGTATGACGGCGAGATAACTGCCTTGGTATTCTTTATATAGATCTTGTCCGCATGAGAGATGAACTTTTGTTGGTACAGGGAAGCTGACGGTGTAATGTCTGTCGTCCAATTCTTCATATGCGGGCTGTTCGAGTTCGACGTTAACGGGATTGCATATTGTACTACGTTGTTGAGTAGTAATAAGTTGATGAATGCAATCTTGAGCTGGAAGAATCTGCAGGCTCCTTTCTTCTTCGCATAAGAACCATTTACTGGTCTTCGGACATTCTGTCTCTATGTGCTTAAAATCTTTCTCGTGGACAGCTAGGAATGGGGAAGGAGGAATAAGGATTTGGTGGAGTTTATTGGGAATAACTGATAGTTTATATAAATCATATATATGTAATTTATAAATGGGAAATTTATAGACTATAACTATTTCGTTTCCTATATAATATGAACCTAGCTTAATTATATCATAATATTCTCTTATATCTAAGTCTACTACTTTATCGCTCCCGTATATTATCTTCAATTTGTTAATGAGATTACGAATCTCGTTTAAGGAAAGAAATGAATGATGCATGGTGGAGATTCTAGTAAACGCTAAAATATTTTGTAATCTAGTCAATTCCTGTGATATTGAATCTACATTATCGCTGAGTATTAGAAGTATCTGTGCGAGATGGGCATATTTAATAAGATCATAATCTCTGGTGGCATCGCTATCTGTAATTTTATTAATAAGACTTTGCATCTTTTCTTGATTGCCAACTATGGTATGTATAATTTTAGTATATTGTGAGGTTATATCTTTAGTCAAACTAACATGATTATTAAATTCCGTTAATAACTTATTTTCATTATCCTGAATCTCTTTAATAGCATTGTTATAGTGCAAAGCGTCTGTATAGTCCAGATTACCAGTAATGCTTTTAACTATCGATCCGAGACCATCAATGAGTCCTCTTTTAGAGCGGTTTTCTTCAAAGGTTTGTAATTGTTCTGATATACTATTAACTTTAGAATTTAAATAATTTATGTGAGGTTCAAATAAGGCATTCGTTTTATTATGGAGTTCAAAAGTATTGTTATTTAATTGAATAAGTATAGAATCTATTTGTTCTTGTAATGTGTGCAAATTAACATATTGTAAGAAAGAATGGTAATGAGATAATATTCTACTAGAGCCTAATTTAAAAGGAAGTACACCGGGGCCATTATCGAGACTTTCAAGTCTTATTTCCTGTGTTATCGTTGCTGGCAGGATCAGAAGAAGTGCCGGGATCGTCCTGTAACAATTTTGAGCTATTAGGGATTCTTTTTAACCTATTTTTGGCCACGGGGCCGCGCCTTTTCTTTGTATAAATATGAATGGGAAGATCTGCCATTACCGTGTCTTGTGTATAACGTGGTGCTAACTTTTGACGGGATGCTATTGGGTTTTTAATAAATATTTGTTGCTCGGGGCAGTAATCAATTTCGGGTTCCCTATTTTTATTGCGGTTGGTCATAATTTCTCTACGGGCGTCAGTACTGAGATCTTGAATTAGATTATAAGTTTTGGTCATTTTATCTTTATGGTTAGTCATATACTGTTGTAATAAGTGAGTAGTAAGATCTATGTCAAAAGCGTCTCGAGAGTCAAAGTGTCCTGTTATAATTTCAATTGGTCTGCATTTCGTTAAACTATGTATACTATTATTATAAGCTAAAAGGGCGTATGGCATGAGGTTAATCACGGATTCGTTTTTATGACTAACTTTTAATATACGGAGGTGCTCTAAAATAGTTGCATGAAATCTTTCAACTATTCCGTTTTCATTGGGTGCATGCGCGGCTACTCTATGATGCTGTATCTTATGTAATCTAACAAATTCTGCTATCAGTTGGTTAGTAAACTCTGGTCCATTATCGGTGATTATAGTGAGTGGTATGCCATGGTGCGTGCAAAAGTTAAGTAAAGCTTGTACTACACTAACTGCGGTGCCATCCCTCAAATAGTACGCTTGAGAGTATTTAGAGAATGCGTCTACAATGGTCAGAAATTTTTCTCCTTGTATAGTTAACAAATCGAGATGTACTAATTCAAAAGGTTTACTTGCCGAAGGAACTATTTTAAACTGAGGTCTGATGGGATTTCGGTCGTATTTTGCTTGACCACAAATAGTACAGTCGTTAATGAATTTTGTAATGTGTTCGCGCATTTTAGGCCAATAGAATTTATGGGATAGAGCTAAAAAAGTTTCGTTAATACCACGGTGGTTAGTTTTCCCATCGTGATATTTGTTAATGATATCTTGTTGCCTCAAATACTCTCTGACATTCTCTAATTCCTTTTTTGTTAATATGAGTTGCATAGCGGAATTTTTAAACGTTCTTTGAATAATAGGGATAATAGAGTACATTCCTAGAGGAGGGTTAATAAGCAAGCCGGTTTTAATTTTAGGGTGAACATATTCCTTAATTGCGCTAATGACATCGTCTTCTAAAGTAGATTCTGATACCTGTACTGTTATGCGAGTGTGAGTATCAAACGGCTTAGTAACGGTCGGTCGTCCTTTCATATCACCTACAATGTTTAAGATAAGCTGTCTTGTGAACTTATTTAAGGGGTCGTCTGAGATGGGAACTTCTAGTATCGGATGTTCGGAGTCTGTATGAACGGTTGCAGTGGTTGAGTTATTTGAAGGATCTTTAGCTGTAATTGTTCTAGATTCATCTAACGTTGCTGAATTTTCGGATGCGTTTGCTACGATGGACATGAGTTCTTCATTATTTAATTCTATTCTAGATAGCGCGTCCGCATTAGTATTGCATTTTCCTTGCTTATAAATAACAGAGAAATCGTATTCACTTAACTTTAATCGCCACCGTGTAAGTCGCGAGTTCGGTTCCTTTAAATTCATAATCCACTGAAGGGGCTTATGATCAGTAATTATTTTAAATTTACGGCCAAATAAATATGGTCTAAAATACTTGGTTGCCCAAACGATAGCCAAAAGTTCTTTTTCGATGGTGCTATAATTTAGTTCGCTTGAGTTCAAAGTGCGTGACGCGTACGCGATTGGTTTATCGGAGCCTATAACACCTTGTGATAAGACAGCGCCTATGGCAACATTTGATGCATCAGTTGTGAGGAGAAATTCTTTTGTAAAATCGGGATACTGTAATATGGGGTCGTTAGTCAAAAGCGTTTTACAATGATCAAAGCAATCTATATAATTTTTATCTAATGTGATTTTAGAACCCTTTTTAAGACATTGAGTTAATGGTTTGGTTAGACGTGCGAAATTAGGGATGAATTTCCTATAATAACCGAGTAATCCGAGAAAACGTTTGATTTCAGTGGTAGTTTTAGGTAAAGGATATCTTTCAATAGCAGCTATTTTATCAGGATTAGGCTTAACACCGTCTCTGCAGATTATGTGACCTAAAAAACTAGTTTCTAACTTTAAAAACTCAGATTTATCCATCTGGATTTTAAAGTTAGATTCTCGTAATT